TTTCACTACCATCACGTACATCACGCCAAAGGGATTGCCAGCCAGGTGCAGGCCCCACATTTCCGGCTCCTCAAAGAGAGTGCTGCAGCAAAATGAGAGAAATTAAAAGAGAATTAACATATAAATAAACATTTACTCACGGCCAAAATTCGTTGCCGCCGGGATTTCGCTCCAACTGCAACTGGCGCAGCTTTTTCGCCACGTTGATGCTGCTTTTGACGGCGAATTCACACATATCCTCATGCGACTTGTAATACAGCTGAGCGTACTCAGCGCGATCAATGTCCTTATACATATACTCTTCTACAAAGAAAGAGAGAGAGAGACGGTGAGAAAACTGCACAGTCAGCATTATTTGTAATCTTAAATGTGCACAGGAAAGAGATTTTTATCATGAAGATTTAATAGTGCTTCAAAGGCCACAAGCAAATTATGTACAAGATTCAGTTTACGTTAGATGCATTTGTTAAACTCAAGCTTTGCGTACAGAAGAGCAACAGCAATATATTTTACCAAAGCTTATTTCACATAAACTTACTGACGCTTCTCTTAAAGTTTAGTTTATCTGCGCCGCCAGCCCACCAGGCCGCAAATTCTTCGCTGCTGAAGCTGGCCGCATTGCGTTCCTTTTGCAGATCAGGATTAACTGTACTAGGAATTACGCTTTTTGACGACATATTTAAACAAGGGTATAAAAAATAACTTTTGTTTTTCTTTTCAAAAAATTTGCTTTAAATAGCAACCACTCGCCACCTGCTGCGGATCACAACTGACGCCTCTTGCAAAAAATTTGAATTTAAATGTGAAATTCAACCAAACTTTGGAATCTCTCTCTCTCTCTTTCTAGCTCTCTGACTGATAAGAGAGCCCAAGAGTTGGGCTCGTGACATAATTATTTGAGCAACAGCTTTGCAGTCAAAGAGCTTTTAAGATTAAACGACAGCACGTGCATACATATATTTGTATATGTTATATATGCATGTATATGTGTGTATGCATATAGATATGTTTATGTTTATGAATCTGATCGCTTGCTCTATTGGGGTAGGTTGCGTGCGCTGTTGCTCTACACACTGCCGCCACCTAGCGTTATTGAAATTCAGGTGTGTTTGTTGACAGTTCATTCAAAATAAAACCGTTAAGCACCATCAATAAACTAAACTTAAATAAAAACGAGAAAAAGGGGCTATCATTGGCACGCCGAAGATTTAATACCCTTGCAGACTCAACCTTTTCATAATGCTCATGGTGCTTTGCCTACATCTGAGAAGCACAGGGAAAATAGTTAATGCCGAGTATGGTAAAGATATCTTGAAAAACAAAGAAGTTTTCCATAGAACAACTTAGTTTTCGACTGATCGTTCCTATGGCAGCTATATGATATAAAATTCCGATGTAAATAGGATTTTGCATAAATGGAGGAAGCATAGTAAAACTAATAAATGCCGAGTTTGGTCGAAATATCTTGAAAAACAAATATATTTTCCTTACAACAACTTAATTTTCGACCGATCGTTCCTATGTCAGCTATATGATATAGTGGTCCGATCTTAATAGGATTTTGCATGTATACCGAGTTCAATCAAGATATGTAAATAAACAAAAAGTTTTTCATACAAGAACCTACTTTTCGACAGCTGGCTCCGACATATGTACTGCGTGCAACAGAAAGAGGCACTTCTGCAAAGTGTTATAAAGATAGCTTTAAAACCGAGAGACTAGTTCGCATAGAAACAGACAGACGGACAGATGGACATAGCTTTATCGACTCGGCTGTTGATACTGATCAAGAATATATATAATTAATGGGGTCGGAGAGGTCTCCTTCTATGCGTTACAAATTTCACGACAAAATTATAATACCCTCTGCAAGGGTATAACAAAATTAAAAAGAAATAAATATACCTAGTTTAAAATATTAGATGTTTGATTTCATAAATGGACCCAAATGCTCGTAAAAGCTTTTTGGAACCGATTTTCGGTTCATGGGCGACTTTAAGGCCGCATCGAAGATCCGCTCGTAGGCATTGCCATCAAAGGAGCCCAAAGTGGAACTCAATTGGTCATCGCAAAAGTCAAAGCCATCCACAATGGTCACCGCCTCCGGGCGCAGATTGGTCAGCGCCGTCTCCAGACGTGCCTGCAGCTGGCACAGATCCGCGTCCGTCAAGTGGACAACTCGCAAAATGTTACTCATATTCTTCAGTGTGACATTGACCAGGTACAGCTCCAACAGTTGCTCCAGCACGCGGTTCAGGGCAGGCGAACGCGTCGTGGACTTTGGCCCGGTTATCTCGGAGAGGAAAGAGTGGAGCACAAAGGCGCGACTATGCAGCTAAAGAAAACAAGTCTATCTGGTACTCTTCAAAATACTGAGAATAGGTGGCAAATACGTACCTCAGCTGCCTGGGCTAGCTCTATGCCCGTGTGGTTGAAGGCCACCTCCTCGGACTCGCCGCTGGCCAAACGCTTCGCTAGACTATTGAAGGCGATGCGTGTCTTGCTGTGGAAGACAAACAACAACAGGTTATCCCTTGGGATTAGCCTCGCATTGCCACAACTCACTTGGCGGCAGCGAACTGCATCGCCTTCACCAAGTTCTCCCAGCTGCCTGTCCAGGCACCAAACTCGGGATTCCGCTGCACGTCCGCCAAGTAGCTGGCGGTGGGGGCCAAAGGAGCGCCGCTTTGTGCCGCTCGCCAGGACTTCATCAGGAAGCGACCGATCTGCAGCAGCAGCACCGTGTTCTCGCCCTCGTAGGTGATCGCGGCGGATGCACTCGCATAAAGATTGGCCAAATTGGCTGAGGCCAGATAGCCATGACCTCCACACGCCAGACGCAGTCGATCGATTCCCTCAGTGGAATCACTGGAGGCAATCACCTTCAAGGCGCACGAGAGTGCGTGCAGCTCGGGCAGACGCTCGTATTTGCCCTGGTCTATGTCCTTGGTGGTCACATTGAATAGATCCCAGAGGTAGTCGGAGGCCAGGCGAAATGCCACGCAAGTGGCTATTTCCGGGAACACTTTCAGCTGCTGCGTAACGTGGTCTATGATCTGCGGCTCGGGCAATCTACAAGACAGGAGATCCGTGAGTTATATATGTGACTGGATTAGGAATAGAATGTGGTACTTAGGATCGATGGGACTCTGTCGGCGCACGGCGGAGTATCGAGTCGCAATGATGGCCGCTGTAGTCAGAAGCATAGCCACTTTGCGGGCAATAATGCAGCGTGTGGAGACCATTGTAAAGTAGGTGAGAGCATCCACAGGACTCTTTACATAGCTGCCATCCCGAAGCACCTGGGCGTGGCGCATCATCATGCGGTTGCGGGGAATGCGCACGTTCTTCATGCCCAAGAAGCCATTGTTGACGCCCAGGAAGCCCATCTTCTTGCCAATCTCGCCGATGTGCACGCCTGGCCTTGGCTCGAATGTGTCCTCCTCTCGCACCTGCACGTAGAACAGGTGGGGTCCTTTGAGCTCGCCATCAATATACAGCTGCGCCATGACCAGACTATAGTTGGAACTGTGACCCACTGAAAGAAGATCAGGATTAGAGATTTAGTAAACACCTCTTTGGATGATACTCACAGCCGCCGGGCCACCACTTGTAGGATGAAATGGTGGGCGTGTTCAGGACAAACTCATCCGTATCGCGATCGAAGTCGGCGCGCGTCTCCAGACCCCGCAAATAGGTTCCATGACCCAGCTCCGTCTGGGCATAGGCGGCGGTTACTTCGAAGCGTTCTACACGTTTGCCAAACTCCTCGTACTGCTCGGGTGTGCACTGGGCCTTTAAAGCTTTCACTACCATCACGTACATCACGCCAAAGGGATTGCCAGCCAGGTGCAGGCCCCACATTTCCGGCTCCTCAAAGAGAGTGCTGCAGCAAAATGAGAGAAATTAAAAGAGAATTAACACATAAATAAACATTTACTCACGGCCAATATTCGTTGCCGCCGGGATTTCGCTCCAACTGCAACTGGCGCAGCTTTTTCGCCACGTTGATGCTGCTTTTGACGGCGAATTCACACATATCCTCATGCGACTTGTAATGCAGCTGGGCGTACTCAGCGCGATCAATGTCCTTATACATATACTCTTCTACAAAGAAAGCAAGAGAGAAACGGTGATAAAAGTGCACAATCAGCATTATTTGTAATCTTAAATGTGCACAGGAAGGAGACATATCTTTTTTTTATGTCTAGACCTAATCAGTTCGAATCAGACCGGAAGAGCAAAGTGTCTGCACCTGAGACCGGATACCTGAGATAACGGTTATCGTTGAATTTATTTATTGTGAATATTCAATAGTGCTTCAAAGGCCACTAGCAGATTATGTATAACATTTAGTATACGTTAGATGCATTTGTTTAAGTCAAGCTTTGTTTAAGGAAGAGCAACAGCCACTTTATTTACCAAAGCTTATTTCACATAAACTTACTGACGCTTCTCTTAAACTTTAGTTTATCTGCGCCGCCCTCCCACCAGGCCGCAAATTCTTCGCTGCTGAAGCTGGCCGCATTGCGTTCCTTTTGCAGATCAGGATTAACTGTACTAGGAATTACGCCTTTTGACGACATATTTAAGGAATCGTATAAAAAATTATTTTTTGTTTTTCTTTTCACAAACTTTGCTTTAAATAGCAACCACTCGCTAACTGCTGCGGATCGCAACTGACGCATCTTGCAAAAAATTTGAATTTAAATGTGAACTTCAACCAAACTTTGGAATCTGTCCCTCTCTCTTTCTGGCTCTCTGACTGATAAGAGAGTCTAAGAGTTGGGCCCATGACATAATTATTTGAGCAACAGCTTTGCTCAAATTGGTCTATTGGGGTAGGTTGCGTGCGCTGTTGCTCTACACACTGCCGCCACCTAGCGTCATTGAAATGCAGCTGTGTTTGTTGATAATTCATTCAAAATAAAACCGTTAAGCACCATCAACAAAATTAAAAAAAAGAAAGCCTTTCCAAAAAATATACCTAGTTTAAAAAATTAGATGTTTGATTTCATAAATGGACCCAAATGCTCGTGAAAGCTTTTTGGAACCGATTTTCGGTTCATGGGCGACTTCAAGGCCGCATCGAAGACTCGCTCAAGGACATTGCCATCAAAGAAGCCCAAAGTGGAATTCAATTGCTCATCGCTAAAATCGAATCCATCCACAATGGCCACCGCATCGGGTCGCAACTTGGTCAGCGCCGCCTCCAGTCGTGCCTGCAGCTGGCCCAGATGGACATCCGTCAAGCTGGCAACCTGAAAAACAAATGGAAATGAAGCCAAATTCGTAGGGAGCAAGGAAAACTCACTCTGATAATGTCGCTCATGTGCTTAAGTGTAACATTGACCAGGTACAGCTCCAGCAGTTGCTCCAGCACGCGGTTCAGTGCGGAGGAGCGTGTCTTGGACTTTGGACCAGTTACCTCGGTCAGGAAATTGTGGAATACAAAAGCGCGTGCATGAAACTAAACAAAAATGTTATAAATAATTCAGTGAGATTGCCAAGATTTAATTGAACGGTACCTCAGCTGCCTGGGTGAGCTCAATGCCCGTGTGACTGGCGGCTACCCTCTCAGATTCGCCCTTGTCCATGCGGTTGGATAGACTTTTTAGGGCCAGACGCGTTTTGCTAATGAATACAATAAAATACAAGTTTATATAGAAGATTAGGCAATCGCTCCCACAACTCACTTGGCGGCAGCCAGCTCCATCGCATCCACCATATTCTCCCAGCTGCCTGTCCAGACTTTGAATTCGGGATTCTGCTGCATGCCAGCCAAGTAGCTGACGGTGGGTGCCAAAGGAGCGCCGCTTTCTGCCGCTCGCCAGGATTTCAGCAGAAAGTGACTAACTTGGAGCAGGAGCACCGTATTTTCACCCTCATAGGTGCACGCGGCAACTGTATTCGCATAAAGGTGGCCCAAATTGGATGAGGCAAGGTAGCCAAGACCACCGCAGGCCAGACGCAGTTGCTCAATGCCCGCGGCGGAGTCGTTTGAGCTCATAACCTTCAAGGCACACGAGAGTGCGTGCAGCTCGGGCAGACGCTCGTATTTGCCCTGATCTATGTCGCTGGAGGTCACATTGAACAGATCCCAGAGGTAGTCGTAGGCCAGGCGAAGGGCCAAGCTAGTGGCTATTTCCGGGAACACTTTCAGCTGCTGCGTAACGTGATCTATGATCTGGGGCTCGGGCAATCTGCAAGACAGGAGTTTCCTCAGTTATACATGTGAGTGGATTAGGCATAGAATGTACCTGGGATCGATGGGACTTTGTCGACGCACCGCCGAGAATCGAGTTGCAATGGTGGCCGCTGTGGCCAGCGACAAGGTAGTGTTGCGTGCCACAATGCAACGTGTGGCAAGCATTGAAAAGTAGGTGAGAGCATCCACCGGGCTCTTTACGTAGGTGCCATCGCGATGCACCTGGGCGTGGCGCATTAGCATACGCGTGCGTGGGATGCGCACATTCTTCATGCCCAAGAAGCCATTGTTGACGCCCAGGAAGCCCATCTTCTTGCCCAGCTCGCCAACGTGAATGCCTGGCCTGGGCTCGTGTGTGCCCTCCTCGCGCACCTGCACGTAGAACAGGTGAAGTCCCTTGAGCTCGCCATCAATATACAGTTGCGCCATGACCATTGCATAGTTGCAACAATGACCCACTGCAAGGAAATCAGGAAATCAGGAAGATTAACCAACATAATAACCGGCTTTAAATTGTTCTCACAGCCGCCGGGCCACCACTTGTAGGATGAAATGGTGGGCGTATTCAGCACAAACTCATCCGTGGCTCGATCGTAGTCGGCGCGTGTCTCCAGGCCACGCAAATGGCTGCTGTGACCCAGCTCCGTCTGGGCATAGGCGGCGGCTACTTCGAAGCGTTCCACCCGTTTGCCAAACTCCTCGTACTGATCGGGTGTGCACTGAGTCTTTAAGGCACGCAGCACGACAATGAACATCACGTGGAAAGGATTGCCCGCCAGGTGCAGGCCCCATATTTCCGGGTCCTCAAAGAGAGTGCTACAACATATCGCAATATATTAAAAGGGAAATTATAACTAATTCAACATTAACTCACGGCCAATATTCGTTGCCGCCGGGATTTCGGTCTGCTTGCAGCTGGCGCAGCTTTTTCGCCACGTTGATGCTGCATTTGACGGCGAATTCACAAATATCCTCATGCGACATGTAAAACATTTGAGCGTAGTCATCATAGTCGAAATCCGTGTACATATACTCTCCTGTGCAAGAGAAAATTTCATTATATTACTATAACTGTAAAAACTAATGAAGAGAGAGATAGTCTAAAGATATGTATGCATGTATATGGGAAAATGGTTCAAGTTCAAAACTTATTTGATTTATGCAAAGTCAACGTTTACGAGCATGGATAATGGCAAAAAATTAGTTTTCGATCATACTACGGGTTTAAAGAGTTTCAAGATCTATGTAGCCCAATATTTGAATATACATATATTAAGTATTCTCAGTATCCTGCTTCGTACACAAAGCAAGATTATCTTCAAATCATACCCGATTGTACTTAAAGCCATTGCAATTAGACTCGACTGGGATTGAATTTAACATGTTTTTGCTTCCGATTTGGGCAAGTCCCGTAATAGAAAATAGAACCATAACTTACTGACGCTTCTATTGAACTTAAGTTTCTCTGCCCCGCCAGCCCACCAGATCGCGAATTCTTCGCTGCCGAAACTGGCCCCGTCTCGTTCCTTTTGCAGATCGGTATTCACTGTTTTAGGTATATTGCTTTTTGATGACATTTTTAGAATTTACTTAAAACAAGTCTTTTAAGTGCAAGCGCTCGGCAGCAGCTGTCGATCAGAACTGAAGTCGCGGCGAAGTGAATTCAACTTATATGCAAAATTGCAGTTCTTTTGGCTCTCCTGTGCTCTGCCATAAAAGACTCTCTCTCTCTCTGATACGCATCATTAATGGAGTTGAGTGCGATAAAGTCTACTCAATGTATAAATCGGAGCTTTCTGCTCAAAATGGTTCAGAATATTAACTCATGCATGCACACACTTGTATTAATATATCACTGAGGTAGGTTGCGCTGTTGCCAATTAACAAATTGCACTTGTTTACCTTAATTAATTTCCTTATCCATTTTTATGTTCGACCTATTTAGCATATTTTACATGCATTAGTTTGTTATTAAATAAACATATTCACAATATTATTTACCGTTGCACTGCACACGCCATCTGGCGTTAATTTCGTGTAGCGCGCCGCAAACATAATCTATCGATACTTGAGCGCTGGACCAGACACGAGTCGACTTGCATGAAACCGATGTAACCTTGTGTGTGTTATCAAACGATTGTGACGTGTATGGGACATACCTTTGTTATTTGTAAACAATGGCAACAAACTTCAATGTTGGGATCCTGGGGCACGTGGACAGCGGCAAAACAACATTGGCGCGTGCCTTGAGCTCCATATCCAGCACGGCGGCCTTTGACAAGAATCCGCAGTCCGTGGAACGTGGAATTACACTCGATTTGGGCTTTAGTGCACTTGTGTTGGAATCCCCCGCTGAGCTGAACGATGGCAAGCAAATGCAGTTCACATTCGTGGACTGTCCAGGACATGCATCCCTCATACGCACCATCATTGGAGGTGGGTGGTGAGCAGCTGCCGGCGCGAGAGTAGAGCTGAAACATCTCATGTTTGCAGGCGCACAGATCATCGACCTGATGCTGCTCGTGGTGGATGCACAGAAGGGCCTGCAAACGCAGACGGCGGAGTGCCTGGTCATTGGCGAGCTGCTGGACAAGAAGCTGCTGGTGGTCATCAACAAGATCGACGCGCTGCCGCCGGAACAGCGCGCAGCCAAGCTGGAGAAGCTGCGCAGCCGGCTGCGCAAGACGCTGGCGGGCACAGCCTTCGGCGACCAGGTGCCCATCTACAGCGTGTCCGCGCTGGAGGGCACAAACATCGAGGAGCTGCGTGCCGGCCTGAGCGCCGCTTACCAGATGCCGCAGCGACAACTGGATGCACCGCTGCTCATGTATGTGGACCATTGCTTCGCCATCAGGGGCCAGGGCACCGTCTGCACGGGCACGCTGCTCCAGGGACACGTCGCCGTCAACGAGAATGTGGAGCTGCCGCTGCTGGGCGAACGGCGCAAGGTCAAGTCCATTCAAATGTTCAGGCAGCCGGTTCAGAACGCCCGGGCAGGCGATCGCATCGGGCTCTGTGTGACCCAGTTCAATGCCAAGCTAATGGAGCGCGGCATCATTGCCCAGCCGGGCTATCTGAGATCCGTTTATGCGGTGTGCGTGAGAGTCCAGCCAATACGCTACTACAAGCAGGCGATCCGCTCGAGGAGCAAACTGCACATCAGCGTGGGCCACGACACGGTCATGGCCAGCCTCACGCTGTTCCGGGACGAGGCCGCCTGCCCGGACTTTGACTGCAGCAGGGAATACGCGTACGTGGAGCAGCTGCTGCCGTCGGAGTCAACCTCCAGCGATTGTTGCTTTGCTCTGCTGCAGTTCGAAAATCCTGTGCTGACGACTTTGGGCAGCACGCTGATTGCCTCCAAGCTGGACATGGATGTGCAGAGCAGCAGCTGCCGCCTGGCATTCTGGGGCCGCATCGCCTGGCAGACGCACAGCGTCAACTATCAGAGCGAGGAGCTGCCCCGGCTGCGCGTATACAAGCGCAAGGAGAAACAGGGCCATGTGCAACGCGTGGTCAGCGACAGCGAAATCATTGTACAGAATCTCTTCAAGAAGGAGGCCAATCGCGACATGTACGTGGGCAAGCGGGTGCAGCTGTCCACGGGCGAAACGGGCTGCATAGAGCGCACATTTGGACAGACTTCCAAGGTGTGCATTGTGTTCCGTGATGGTATATCGAGTGCGACGCTGGAGCAGCTCAAGTCGGAGCAGGCCAAGGAGGTGCGCGTGCTGTTAAATTGCAAGAAATATATATTTAATAAACAGGCCGGTCTGTTTCAATGAACAAATTCGTTTTTCTTTCACTCTTTTATTTCACAAGTTATTTTGGCGCATTTTGTGCTAGCGCCATCTGTTGAAAATGTATATAGACTGCCAGTCTGTCCTTTTGCAACACTGTACTTATCGACCGACCGCCGCAACGTAAAAACAAGAAGAAGAGCGAACACAAACAAAACAATAGTTCTATGCCAAATTTTAAGCATAGTTGCTTAAACATTACAAGACAATAAATATAAGTAATACAATTGAGAATGTTGTGGTGCATAGTGTCGCTGCTGCTGCTCTTCAGTGCGGCAGAAACAGAACCCGTCACTGTGGACTGCAGCGAGCTGCTAATGGGCCAATTTATGTGCCCCGATCCCGCCAAGAATCACATAGATGCCAAGACACAGCAGCTGCGCGGCTGCACCAAACAGAATCGAGCGCGCGTCTGGTGCATAGCGGCCAATGAGATCAACTGCACCGAAACGGGCAACTCCACCTTCACGCGGGAGATGCCCTGCAAATGGACGTAAGTGTGTAACACCTCCCAATTGGTTGCCGGCTAAAGTTTGATTTGTTTTTTTTTAATGCAGAAATGGCTATCATTTGGACACGACCTTATTGCTTTCGGTGTTCCTGGGCATGTTCGGTGTGGATCGTTTCTATTTGGGCTACCCAGGCATAGGACTGCTCAAACTGTGTACGCTGGGCGGCATGTTTCTGGGCCAGCTTATAGACATAATACTGATTGCGCTACAGGTGGTTGGACCTGCAGATGGATCTGCCTACGTTATACGTATGTGTACACAAATTGTTGTCAATATTTTACTACAGTCATTTTAATTCCCTTGATCTTTCTTCTCTTTTTTAGCTTACTATGGAGCTGGGATCAGCATTGTGCGCAGCGATAATACGACGTATCGCTATTGCAATCAACTGTATTGCATGCAGCAATGAAATTAGGGAATGCTGGTTAAACTATGCCAGAGCCTTTGGTCATAGCTGAAGATCAGCCTAAACTAAGCAACGACTGTTGAACTAGAACATATTTACTAATTGTAGTTATAAATCTAGACTATTAGCTTCAAGAATTGTTGTATTTTTAACTAAACATAAGTTTACTAATGTAATAGAAACATGTACATATAAACAAATTGTTGGCCAAAGCAACGCTAAATTGAAACCTGAATTTCGCTTGTGTCTGTCAGCAACTTTCAATGTTGCCAATGATGATGATTTGGGGATAGCAGCAAGCGGCAAGGACAACAAAAAATAATTGGGCAAACTTGTACTTTGATCGCTTTCAACATGAACATTTGCAGCGCGTCAGAGCTTAGTCGACGACTCACCGACGCAGACTCCGTGCAGACTGCCTGTAATCAACGCAGATGGCGGCAACTGTGGCCTGGGATAGGGGCACCGGACGGGCGCAGGGCAAATCGAGTTGCGATTGCGATTGCGCATGCTGTATGTACAACGTTCTGTGGGCCTTTCATCTGATTGGCATTTCCGAAATAATCAGCAACATTGCATCGACAACGGCACGAAATGAAGAAAACAGAAAAGCAACAACAACAACAACAACAACAGCAACAACGAGAAGCCTGAAAATGCGTCGCTTGTTCGATTTAATTGCCATGGCCAATGTTTGGGGTCGCGTGTAATTCAATGCCTTTTAATTAGGCACTCAATTAAGGCAGATTCGCGACTTCGCGAAAGCAAAAGCAAAATATGTTCAATGAAAACAAAAAATAAATAAAAATAAACAGCATCGCATGCAAAATTGTATGGCACAGTCACAGTTTGCGAGTCAGTGGCTGTCAAACTGTAGCATATTGCTCATACGCACGGTGGGTGGCTTGGCTTATTGTGGCTATTGTGCTAACAATCATGTGTTGTTTACTTCCACAGCCACGCCCATACTCCACCCTCTCTCTTTCACTCCTTCAGTCTGCTCCTCTCTCTCCAGTTGCCCAGCAGCCTCCTCTGTCTGCGTCTCAGCATGTGTCCAGTTTCAATTAGCCAAGTTGACAGCCAGTTGCAAGTCTGTTGTTACATGTAGCTATTAGCTGTGACTATTGTTGTGTTTGTCATTGTTGTTGTTGTTGTTGTTGTCGTACATACATCTATGTAATTACAGCATGAGACTTTTGCCGCCTGTGTAAACAACAGGCGCTTTGATCTCCGTCTGACAGGCAGACGCAGCAGTGGCTACTTAGCCAGTTAGCCGAGCTGGGAGTAGCTAGCGGTTGCCTTTGTTGGGACAAGTGCTCCGCTCCAATCTAATAATGGTATCGTTTACTGCAGTCTCTTTTGTATTTTGTACTTATTTTTTGTTTTTTTGCAACTGCAGGCAAATGAACTTTGCCAATGGCCATTAGAAATTTGAGCAGCTTGTTTGCAGGTTTCTTAAATTCTTTTCTTTTTTTTTCTGCTCTGTCTGCGGCGGCGACCTTATGGAAAATGCCCAAGAGCTACGCACTTGGAGCCGCAAGAACTATCCGTCGTATTTGTATTTAGTGGGTGTTTTGTGCCTATTTGACTTTAGATTAGGCTCGAGCCTCACCTGAGGCCGGCCGCAGCTAAAAATATAAAATATAAAACGCAAGCAGACAACACAAATTGCTAAGCACACACACCTCTGGCAGATACAAAGTTAAGCCACGGCAAATAATGGCAAATTGCAAATATTTACAATTATGAAAATAGCATCGATGCGTTGCCCAAACTGTTTTATATATAGACCCCAAGAGTCAGAAGATTGGAGAGCGCTGGCTCCGCCATAAAAGACGCAATCACGACAAACCCAAACCAAGCAAGGAATAGGGATAGGGGTTGGGATGGGGGTTAGGGGGTTGAGGTTGGCGTACTACTTGTGCTATTTGCATAGCGCTTAGAAGCTCAACGGCTAATTACGCTCAAGTGGCGTGGAAAATTGTGGCTCGCCCGGTCGAGGCAGCGAAACGCCCCCCTTTATGGCCGGCCCGGCTACGGGCTGCCAATGACGTTTATGCCAAATTGCTTTTAAAATTGTTTACAATAACACACACACACAGCTAAAACAGATAGCAAAATGAACTCTATACAAATACAAGTAATTTAATGAAGCGCAATTATTGAATTTTCAAAAGTAAATCATAGACTGCGTCAGGGCTTGCCACATGATGCCGAACCAAACCACAAGCATGCGGTTGCATGCGAGGCATTTGCAAATTGTTGGCTGGCTGCAAGTTCTCTTTTGGTAGTCTCATAAATAATGGCAACCTCTTGTGACAAAATGTGCGCCTGGGAAAACCAAAAGCCAACTGGCAGCTGGCAACCGGCAACTGGCAACTGCATTCGTGATAACTGCAACCAAAGTTTTCCATGCACCGAAGTCTGGCCTGGTCTGGCCTGGGTCTATGCCTATGTCTACCTAATCTTATACAATGAGTGCATAAATCATCTCTTGCTGCCTGTCCCCCACCCCCTACCCCTACCTCTACCCATACCTTCCATGTGACTGCATTTTCCATGGCATTTGATTACGTTGACGACGCTTTTCCTCAGCTTCAGCTGCAGCTCTCAAGTCTCAAGTCTCAGCTCTCAGCATAAATGTCAAATGCTCGCCAATTTGATTTGGCGTTTGGCTAAGTATAAATTATGCCCAGGCCAAACACCTGCCTACCCCCCGCCTCCCCCCACCCCCTCCGCTCTCCTCTGGCAACAGCACTCCTTGCCACTAGCTCAGTCAAAAGTTGTCTTTAATTTGCGTTTAAGCCAACAATTTAGCAACTTAAGTGTTATTATCGCATTTGAAACAAATGCCATAAAAGATTTGTGGCTTTTGAACAAGTGCGGCTAAGTGCTAGTTGCTGTATTTAACTGTAAATACAGTTGTTGTTGCTGTTGTTGTCGTTGTGATTGTAATGCATGTGCTGTTGCTTTAAGTTAATGCATGATTCCAAATGTTATGCGACTTGTAAATGGCATTTACAATTTGTTTGGTCCAAGTCATTCGGGAAAAGTCACAGGAACATTTTCCTTGGTCTTAACACAGCTGTTTACAGTCTTTATTTTACTAATTATTCACTTACCAGCTACTAAATCTCCTTTCTCCGGGGATCTGTAAGAGAGGAGAACAGAACAAGTTTAATAATGCAAGTCTATTTGGCTTGTAAGGAACTAGGCATGCTTAAACCATTTGGGAATTATAAGTGAATGTCATGTGCATGTTAAACTAACATACTTCACGTGACACACTTTCTGACACCTGAATCTTATCTGTGAGCATAACGAATGAAGTTTGCTTTATAGATAGCTAAACTTCAATTGCCTTTACATATTTTGCGTTCCATTCATAAAAGTGCCGCAGTTATCTCCACAGATGCGCCGAATGATTATTTTTTGGTTAGGTATTTCCTATGGTATTTCCTTTTGGAGCAAAGACAACAATGTTCGTGGCATATTAAAATGCCAGTTGACAAATTCTAATTTGCAGCGCAGAATTCTGAGAAGCGCATGTAATTGAGAATTGAGATAACATTATTAGCTCGGTTTGTTTAAGGACGGGAACGGGAACGGAGACGGGGACGGAGGGCAAGGCAAGGGCGGTTAAATGAGCCATTCACCTGTGCCTCAGCACCTGTTAACAAGGTGTTTATTTGCACGCTGCGGAATGCGCACAATCGTTGAAAATTATATTTCAATTGCTGAAAAATATCGGGCAATTCGAGCAGCAACCAAAATTTAAGCCACGAAACAGGAAAACAAATACTAGCCACTTGGGATGGGCTTAAATAACCAAAGAACAGCAATTTAATTTTAAACAAAATATTATATTTTTGAAAGGTATGTCGATGGCGAGTTAAAGCATGTTTAGTCTGGGTAAAATAATGCCAAAATGCAATTGAAAAAGGGGCACATATTAAATAAATTATTATCAGGGTTTATTTAATTAAATAAATCAAGATTTTGTAAGAATATTTCAAGTGCAAGCTGACAACAATAAAGGGATTATATGGGACTTTTAAGGGTTAAGTAACTATAGTTAATTTTAAATTGGTTTTCGATTGGAATTAAAAACTTGACAGAGATAAAGGAAGAATAAGTAATATATTTACATCACATGACAATTAATTAAATAATGTAGATAACGTTAATGATTGAAGTTGTTTATCTTGTCTAAGGATAGATTGAACAGAAATAGAAAAATAATAAATATTTCCACAACTACTTTAAATCATCTATTGAATCATATAAGGAATAAACTCAAATGATGTACTTTATAATACAAAATATAGCACTTAGCAAAAACTAGACATGCCTAAGGGAATGGAGGCACATTATGGCCAACACTCGTTGTTTCTATGGCATCCTCAGTTCAACTTGACCCCAAACCAATTGCTGAGCACTGGTTAACGGTTCGAGCCCCCCAAACAGAAGGAAAACCAATCCGCAGCGTCTGTTGCTGTTAACAACAACAGCAACATGGGCAACAACAACAGGGGCCGGACTTCGTGTCCGACTCGTTTTTCGGGGCTCGTGTCGCTGCTCTCGGTTCGTGTATGACAGCTGCGGCTCTCCGAGTCGCGGCATTCGTTGCCTGCGATTCGGACGGCGCTGGGCCGTTCAGTTCTCGTTTAACAGCGCCGGCGAACGGTCAGAGAGTTGCGGAAAAGCGCTGAGCCGAGTGGAACTGAGCTAAGAAAATTGCCTGTTCGCAGCCAGGAAAAGTTTGTCAAGTTGTTGGGAAAAATTCGCGCGCGCGTTTCTACGTCGCATGTCGCTGATCGTTTGAGAAAACAAAAATTTATTACACAAAAAAAAATATATAAAAATTAATTATACTAAAAAAACAGCATAATTACAAAGCTCGTAAATCATTTATTTATATATATAATATATATGTATATATATAGAGAGAGAGAGAACTCAGAACCCCCCGCGCTGCCTGCAACAGCTTGATCTAAGCTTTGTTATCGCGCGATTTTTGTGTGTGAAACAACAACAAATATATTGAATAAAAGTATAAAAGCATTTAAATATGAATATAAACGAAATGTTTTGAAATACGCCTTAAGGTACTCGATGAAAGGAAAATAAACATAAGAACAAATTGGCGCGCAATTGGCAATTGCATATGCGCTGCGGCTGGCGTTGCGTTTTACATAAATTGCATTTGAATTTGCATTTGCAATTTGAATTAAGGCAAGAACAATAAACAAACCCATTCAAAATAATAGACAATCAACTAGCTGGCGTGCGGCTAAGCCAAAGCTAAGCTGAGCTGCGGAACAACGTGGCGTATGCGTAATCTGTAATTTTACACATCCTGCGGAAATAAAGCGCTGTGACTTTTGAGTGTGCGCGCGCGTCTCTGTGTGCGTCTGTGTGTGTGTGAGTGTGTGTGGCACGTGGCGCGAAAGCAATTAATTATTTTGCCAAAAAGGAAAATCGGAAAAATTGAAATGAAAAGCGTGCACGTTGCGTGTATTTTGAGTGCTGCCCGCTGATGTACTTCTTCTCGTTGCCGTTGTTGTTGTTGTTGCGCCTTAAGAAGCAAACAAATTGAAATAAGAGGCCAAACAGACACCGGACAGACACACGTTGAGCCGTTGAGCAGCCGCACAAAGCAATTGAAAAATGCGATTCATATCGACAACAATAACAACAGAAAAGAGCAACAACTAGTAGACAACGACTCCGCCTCCAGCAGCACCTCATCCACCAACATCTCCGCCCGTTGCTGCTGCTGCTGCCACCGCTGCTGCTGCTGCTCCTCGGTCCGGCAACATGTCAAGCATAATTAATTTTCGATTCTGCCTGGGCCGCCGCCAATTTCAACCCGTCTCCAGCTCCGTTGCCGTCAACATTGCCATTGCCATCGCCGCAGCCGCCGCCGCCGCCTCAGCCGCCGCCACCTCGTCTACGTTCCTGCAATTGTGCTGAAAGTCAAGTCGATTGCCTCCCGCCACCGCCGCGCCGCCAGCTGGAAGTCGATTCAACGGGTAAACTTTGCCTCGTTACTTTTCTTTTGTAATTAATCTTTTTTTGTCTTTGTTTTTGTTTTTGTTATTATTGTGTTTGTGTTGTTGCTGTTATTGCCTGACAATAAGTACGTGTAGCGCGCGATTTTGTTTTATTATAATGAGAACATATAAACGTTTTGCTATCTGCCTGCCGCGTGCGCCCATCCCCGCCCATTTCCCCGCCGGCTGCCTCTTTTGGTTGTTTCAACATTTTGCGAAAATTGTTTAATTGTTTGAATACTATTATCACATTTTACGAGAGAGCGAGCGAGAGAGAGAAAGACAAATCGTGTGGGAGAGTGAGAAGGAGAAGGGCAGACACAGACGATTCTCGGAGTGTTTATGAAGGCTTCTCTTACTTACGTACGGCCTATCTCCGTACGCCCCTTCTCCACCCTCTCCCTTTCTCCCTCCTACTCGGCGTTCAGTTGGAGAATTAATGAATGTACGTCGTGTATTCAATTGTGAAACGAATCGAGTTTGAATCAAAGCAGCTCAAATTATTATTCAAACATATGTTTGCCTTTTACCTACCGAAGCAATTAAGAAATCTGCATAGCCTTTTGTACGCACAATTTATAAGGCGCAAATTTACAGTTAAGTTTGTTTCTAGGGTCTATTGAAATTGTCGTGGCTGCTGCTGCTTTTGCAGCCAGTTAAGCGTTTATAAAAGGTCTTGGATGATAGGTATACACAAATATGATACTATATCCCGTAATAAGATACCCCTAAAAGAAAATGTAAACATTACTAAAAGAATGCCGTTATTTTAAAATAAAAAAAAAGTCGAGTTGGTAAAAAAAAAAAAAAAACGATGAAAACGGTCTTCTTTACTAAGTTGTCGCCTTTCTATGTGATTCTCATAAATGCATGTAATGAGTGTAGATATAATTGTTTAGTTTTTGTGTAAGAGTGGAAGAAAATAAATGAAAAAGCGAAAAAAATGGTGTGAAATAAATAGAGTGAGCAGTAAAACACAAAGCATGCAAGGGACATAAATAAAATAAAAAGTTAAAGAAAGATTGATATATAAAATATTACCTAAAGCAATGCATTATATCAAGAAAATCGCATTGTAAAAGCGAATATAAGAAACACCGCTTTTAGATTTGTGTTACACCGTTTTAACTAGCAGTCAAATTAATTTTTGAATACCTGTTATCTTAAGCTTTAAAAATCTTTGATGTCGAACACAGTTTTCCGATTTGTATTTTGCCGGAACTAAATGTTATTTAAAAATAGCAAATTGCATGGGAAAGTGCAAAGTTTTCCATGCATACTTTGCGACAAATTCATAATGTGAAGACATTGAGAAAACAGGCCTTAGGGACCTTAGAAGAAAGAAATAGCATGTGTATTATAATTTGCATCAAGCTTCTTCATGCTGATTCAGCATATACTGAATATAATTTATGGCATCACAGATCTTAAAACAAATTCCTTTAATACATATGCCCGAGAGATCTTAAAATTGAATCAGTTTTAAACAATTCTGCCAATTCGGCAACAATATATCTTAAATAAACGCTTCATTCATGGTCCAAAGAACAACACATAATCAAATTGATAATTGATGTTGATAGTTACTTTATCACGATTGGTATTTGATAGCAGTACACTCATAATTCAATAGCTTAACCAGTAGTATATTGTATTGCGCAAAGAGACTAAATACCTTGCTAATAGATGCTATCTGTCATTTCACAATTTCACAATTACAAGGTATTCACAGCGCCACAGCTCAATCACAGTCGAATAGTATTGTTCGTTCGACAACTGTATATGAGTAGCTTCTATGAATCATATTGTTTATCTCATTAGTAACGATGTGTCAAATTTAGCATGCCCCATATACATATGTATATGCATATCTATCCGCAAATATATCTGTCATAAGTGACTGAAGATCACGTTTCAAATGCAATTACTTAGTTATTGATGTTCAATTCGCCATATAAAATACTTAATAACAACAACAAATATTAACAATTTCCTGTCGCCCATTGGCATTTTTTTTTTTTATTATTAAAATGTTGCTCTAAAACCTCAGGAATTACAATGCATTCATTAAAGACAACAAAGTACCAGAGAATTACAGCAGGAGAAAAAAAAAGAGAATGAACAAAATGACATCAAGCAGAGACAAACAAATGTAATAAAAGAAAAAAAAAAAACTGAAAGAAATGTTGGTAATAACTGCGTACGCAGTTACCAGTAATATCTGAAAACCGTGCAGAGTGAGGGATGGGACTCGGTATGTGGACTAGAGACTGGAGACTGGGGTCTGGAGACAGGGGACTGCGGACTGTGGCCTGCGGGGGCTTTACATGGTGTGCGGAGTAAATATGAATGCAGACATTCTGGACAGACAGTCTGGACAACCCAGACATATATATATATATATATATATAGATAGAGGCCACATTGGCTAGCTGGACAGTAGGCAGAGTTGGATGACAGTCAGCCGGGCTTAGACGACAACGACAATTGGACAGGCTCTCTGGGCCTAGGTGTTGCTTTTAACTGTTGCTGTTGTTGTTGTTGTTGCTGTTGCTGTTCGGTTTATGGTAAAAATGCAACTATACCTGTTTTGCCAACACTGACGCACACTCGCACACACGCACACACAACAACTTAACTCGTTTGCTCAGTTGCAGGCTCAACAGTGCAACTGCAACTGCATTTCAGTTTTTTACACCCTTTCAATGAGGGTATTTTCCATTTGTCGAGATATTCGAGAGCTTACAAATTATATTCCAAATTGATCAGCGGAATAAGCTGTATATATACGCAACTATGCGAATCAGCCAATTTATTTTTTTTAGATATAGAAGACGATATTTATTCAATATAGTCTAGTTCTCTGAGTATTTTATCATCCTTGATTCAAAATTCTTATTTTTATGTTTTAAGCATATGTTAAGGAAACTTAATAAATTCATGTTTAAATCTGGTTTTTATAATGTGTGCGAATTTCATCAAAACCCTATTTGAATATAAACTTGCCCTTAGACAATCGAGCTGTTGTCTTTTAAATTAATTAAATATGATTAAAATTAGAAAAATATACACAATTAAGATAAATTAGAAAACATGAACACAACCATTTGTAAATTAAGTTTAATTAAAAAGATAATTTTACTTTTATTTTATTTAAAAAGTCAGATTAGCTTATTAAGGAAACCTCCAATAAATGGCAGGGTATTTAAGCTGCGTCGTATCGAAACTTTAATGCACTTTCTTGTTTTTGTTGTCTTTTTTGTTTTTTTTGTTGTTTTTTTGGTGCACGCACCTGTCCCAGCATAGACATAACCAGAGACAGGCGGTCTGCAGGTGTTTTGTTTGCTTTGGTCTAGTTTGCAGTCGCAGCTCACACGAGTTGGAGCTGGGAGCTGGAACTGAAGCTGGACCCGGGACTGGGACTGGGACTGGGACTGGCTGTCTGTGTCTCTCTCTGTGGCAGAGTCCTCAGCATAATAATAATCCGGCAATTAAAATATGATCGCATAATAACTCGGCACTCGTGTGTCTTCCTATGATTTATGGCGCTTCTTTTGGCTTTTGGCTTATTTATAGACTCGCTCTCTAGGGGTAATTGTGTTGTTGTTGTTGCTGTTGTTGTTGACTACTTTTTTTACGCATACTTTTGCATTCGCTTAAAGGTAAATTGCTGTCGCCAAGCGGCAAGCGCCAGACGCCGTCGCCGTTTGCCGTTCGCCGCTCTAAACGCGTTCGCCTGGGCCGGCTTGGCTCGTTTGACTGGCAAAACCCAAAGACAAGAGCCAGAGCCAGAGCCAGAGCTAACAGCGCTCCTCAACAACAACAACAACAACAACAACAAAAATAAAAACAAAAAAACAGTGCAAAAACGAACCAAAACATTTGATACGCCCCGGCTCGACGACTCTGTCGCAGCTCCCGACCGCTAGCTGCAGCTCCCGCTGGCGACTCTTTGGGCCCGGCCAGCCTGTCTGTCCGGCTGTTGCTTCTAATAAATAATTTTAAATGCTGACTACAAAAACCCCAAATGAATGGCCCAATGAATGGCCGGCTGACGGGCTGACGGGCTGACTGACGGACTAGCAACGGCCAGGCGCAAGTTGAAGTGTAACCCAATAGCCAAAGGCGCGCTCTTAATTGACTGCGTGGGATGTGAACGTGGATGTGGCTGTGGCTGTGGCTGTAGACTTGGTTGTGGATGGCTGCACAGCTGGTAGCTGGTTGAGGCTGAGGCTGAGGCTGTTCACTGTTCGCTTCAAGCTGTTAACTGTAATTGCTAGCTTGTAGTTGTTAGCCAAGTGTTGGGGCAACTGGGGCAAGTGGCAGTTGCCATTTGGTTGTCTTAATATTAAACGGGGACCCGCATATTTGGGGGTAGTTCTCTGCCAGCAGCCTAATGACGTCAGCTTTGTCGCCATATGTCTCTATGCCTCAACTACACGCACACACACACACACTCGCACACACACACACACTCGCGGTCATGCGTCATCACGCAGGTTGTTGACGGCGGCGTCTGTGTCTGCATTGCAATTTCACCATGCCCCCCACTCAAACGCTGTCTGCGTCATGCACAGCATACACACTCATACACTTACACTCCCACACACACATGGCACACACGGCATTCTGGTGATAATTTCGCCATGACACGCAAAACTGAACCAATTTGTTTGCCTTCGCTCTATTTTTTTTGTTGTTGTTGTTTTATTGTTGTTTCTGTGCTTGTTGCAATCAAACACAAACTAATTAATATTTACAAAAACAATAGCAAAGCCAATGAAAATTCCGCCGCCGCTCAGATAAGCCTATAAATAGCCCGCAGAAAAAAAAGTTGTGGCAGACTGTGCGGCGTGCTGCACTTAACGCAATAGACATAAAGACTATGTGTGTGTGTGTGTGGGTGTGGGTGTGTGTGTGTGTGTGTGTGTGCTTGTATTGGTGCACTTTTATCTAAAGAGCTGTATGCGGCATGCTAG